TATATATATATATTCATAAAATAATTTTATTGACATCTCCAAAAATAATTTTATTTCAATAAATGTTTGAGCGATTTAGTTCTAATTTTGCCTAAAAGTAGGCATAAATTGGTGGTAAGATACGATTTACATACCAAAACGATTGGTAGTTTGCAATTTGAATAAAAGTGAATCGACAGCTAACGAATAATTTACATATGACACATACGATAGACGATCGAGAGTGATAAAATCAAAGAGAAAATCGTACACTTTCATTAGCGTTTTTAGTCGAGTTCATAACAAATCAAGAAGAAAATAGAAGAACATTAGTAAACTTATTAGAAAACAGAGCTTTCGATTAATCAAATCGATCGATCGCGAGAGAGAAGTGATTTGCCATTGTTGCAGTGTCGACGAAGAAGGAAGAACAATGATAAATGGTAAGAAAATGATGACGAAAGTGGAAATACAGTTACACATATAGTTTGATTAATATATTTAATCGATAGAGAGAGGAAGAGGGAGAGAAGTGATTCACCATTGTTGCAGAATTGATGAAGAAGAAATGAGCAGCGCGAAACAGCAACTGAGGAGAGGGAGAGGGAGAAAGTAGAAACCGAGGAGGATTTTGTGGGCCTTTAATGTGTCTGAAAACCCTTTGACTATCAATTATTCTTAGGGTAAATTAGACGGACCATTCTTGTGGTTTGGATAGTCTGCGTGGTTGGTCCCTACAATTGTTTTTTAACTTGTACGGTCCCTATTATACAATTTTGTTGTGCGTTTGGTCCCTACCATACATAAAAGACTATTTTACCCCCAACTATTTCTTTTTTAATTAATTTGTTATTTATATTTCAATTTATTAATTATTTAAACAATAAAATTAATAATAGGTAGTTAAAGTACAACCACTTAAAGAAAATGTACAACCACATTATTACAACCATGATCCCCTTATATATTCAACCAACAGTTGAGCGCCCCTCACAGTCTCCTTCTTCACCGGAAAGAAAAACTCAAACAGAAAAATTAAAAAATCAAACATAATACCCCTTTCCGATTTCTAATTCCCACACACAAAACCCAAATCTGCAAATCTATAAAACATATTATCATCCATCAATTTATGATTCAACCGGATTTCCTCCACCCACCATCACCAAATTCTGATTTGCAGAAAACCCACTTAGAATTTCATTACATCTACTCCAAATTCACCATATTGCATAGTTGGTGAAGTCGTTTTTGGCAATCGGGAAGGCATGATCTCTGAAAACCAGATACCACACAGAAGCTTAATTTTTAACCGGATATACAACATAAACAAAGCTGATTTTGTAACTAACGGGAACTTATCCCAAGCCATCCCCACAATCTGAAACCAGATCAATGAACAAACATTGACAATTGGTGTGTAAATACCAACATCATCAAGCAACCTGTAATCAACACTTGATTCTTGGAAATTAACCATTGATGTTTCTTCACTGGAGAAATAGAGAAAGGCAGAGTACACCAAAGAAATTGAGAGAGGCCGATGGACGATCGCTTGGCAATGGAGGCTGACGAATGTTGCTTGACGTTGATGATGGGGCAGGCGGCGACGACGTCATAAGTTACAAGCTTGCAGCGATATTTAGGTCAAAAAGGGGTTATTTTGGGGTTCCATGACTTCTATCACTGAATAAGTGAATAAGTGTGTAATGCCTGTTCCAAGCATTACTTAAATCATTTATTTAAGTTTAAGGTTTTGTGCATGGACTCGGCGAGTTGGGAGTTCAACTCGTCGAGTAGGAGCCTTATGGGTTGAGACGGGATCGAGACCTACTCGACGAGTCAGAAGGTCGACTCGAAGAGTAGGAGCTGTAAAGAGAAACCCGAATTTTTAAGGGTTTGCACCCTATATAAAGAACATAACCTGCTCGTATGGCCTCCCTTAGCACCTTATCACCCATAGAAGAGAGTTTGCGGCCGTAAACCCCTCTTGAGTGAGAGAAATAGCCTCTGTGAGTAATCTTGGAGTAATTGTGAAGGGATTTGGAGCTTGAAGAAGAAGGAGATAGGAGAGGAACAGTAGATCTAGCATCTACTTCATATTGGCCATCATCCTGAGGTATAAAGTCGTGACCTTGACCTCTAGTTGTTTAGATCTCTCTTCTTGGAAGTAAATGGCCATTCTTGGTGCAAATGGAGTCAAACTTGTATCTGGACTTATCACAAGGATAGGGTTCCAGATCTGGACCTATTTAGGTCCCAAATACCATAAAGTTGCTTCCTTTATGCAGTTTGGCCTCTTCCCATGCACAAAAGCCTTGTAAGAAGCCTAGTTTTGAAGTTATAGCCTTGAAGGACCTTGCATGCACGTAAAGTTTGCAACTTTACGTAGTATTTGCATTAGGAGAACTTAGATATGGAGTTTGGGACCCTAGATCCCACTAAAAAGGGCTGAACTTGAAGAAGACTGAAGGTACTCGTCGAGTCCCTTAGCTGACTCGACGAGTCAAATGAGGTTTACCCGTTTTCGGTTGTAAAGAGTGTTCGGCTGTAAACAGTTTTCAGTTGTAAAGAGTTTCCGGTTGTCATGAGTTTACGGTTGTCATGAGTTTTCGGTTGTGGACAAGGAGGGACTCGGCGAGTTACACAGGTAACTCGGCGAGTAGATGGATTACTCAGAAACTCGACGAGTTGCTGGATGCACTCGACGAGTTGAGATCAACATGGACTGTTGACCTTGACCGGTGACCTTGACTTTGACTAGGGTTGACCAGAGTTGACCTTAAGGGTAATTATGGGATTATGACAAGTTAATCACATAATGATTATAGGCAGCTGAGTGGGAGCAGCACGTGGGACCTATCTAATTCTAGCTTGTCAGTTCAACATCCGAGAGGTGAGTCTTCTCACCATACCCATGGGTCTAAGGCACCAAGGCCAGCCCATTATGTGATTATGTTTATGTGTTAGTCATTTTCAGTGATATAATATGCTATGTGATTGTGTGTTATTGCATGGAAGACCCCGGGGGAAGCCTGTGGCATTGGATGTAAGACCATGTGGGGTAGCCCATGACATTCCTAGGTAAAGACCATGTGGTTTAGCTCATGGCATTGGATGTAAGACCATGTGGGGTAGCCCATGACATTCCTAGGTAAAGACCATGTGGGGTAGCCCATGGCATTGGATGTAAGACCATGTGGGGTAGCCCATGGAATTCCTAGGTAAAGACCATGTGGGGTAGCCCATAGCACGGAGGTGTAAGACCCTGGGGGGAGCCCACGACATCCTTACAGGTTTATGTATGCAGGTCTTATGTGTTATATGTAGCTTTTATTTTATAGCTAACATGATATGTGATATGTGTATTGTGCTTGGTATGCTCTGGGAAACTCACTAAGCATTTAGCTTACAGGTTGTGGGTTTGTTTCAGGTACTTCAGATCCCAAGGGCAAAGGCAAGGCGTGATGACGCAGCGTGCACTCTCTCCCAGGCATTTTTAAGGACACTCTGATGTTTGGAATAAAAGTTGTATTTGACATATGTCTTGAAAACAATTGTAACATCCGATTATTTTTTGTTTATAAAGTCAACTCTAGTCAACCAAAGTCAAACAAAAGTCAACTAAAGTCCATTTCATTGTTTGGGTTTTATTAAGGTTATGATAATAATCTTTATTTGCTAAAATCCTTATAATATCTATAGTATAATTTGGAAGGCAAAGGTTTGTAAATCCGGGAAACTTCGCAATTTTTCCTTCGCCTCATACCGCAAAGAGTTTACGACCGTAAACTCTTCGGACCGTAAACTCCTCGCAGACCGTAAACGAGGCTTCAACCGTAAACTGTCAAACCGACTTCGGACCGCAAACTCCTCGGCCGTAAACCCTCGCATATATA